ACAAATTACAGGGTACATGCCTTTAGCCAAACAAAGTAGACTTTTTCAACCTTTCTCAGTGGCACATATTAGCCTATTTCCTGTAATTTAAACTATGGCAAGAGTTCATCTACAACATGGCTGAGGCGCTCAGTAAATAAAATTAACTTACAGGATAACATAACCTGTGTGACTTAGCCAAATCATACAACAGATCTCCTATGGCATTGGAGCCCTCAGTAAGAATAAAGGTGAAGAACAGAAAACAAACTAAAAAAACTGTATACTGTATTATAAAGAAAAATAAAGACCCTTTCTTTGTTTGGCCAAGAGTAAAAAAAAAATCTAAATAGTGAAAAAAAATGCATTTAAAGTTTAAGTTTGTTCATAGTTAACTGGTGTCTCACCTGGAAATGTGGGCAATTTGTTAATTTAATAAATGTTTTATCTCCTAATTTGTTATTAACCACAACATCAAAAAAGAATAAATTTGATTGTTTATACATGACTTTATGTCTTCACAGCTCTTAACAGCCTTTATTCCTTTGAAACCTTTCAGAGAAATAGGTTAAATTCCATCCCAAGGTAATGAAATACAGAAGTCTCTTTTTGAAAGGGCCAAAAGGAATGACAATAAGATCACAGTGGCTGACCTTTGACCAAGGTCAGCGTCCTTTTATCATCACCGTTCTTCCTCTTTTCTTCCCCTTGGCAAAAAACTGCCGCTCCAGGAAAAGTTATTAGCCTCCTCCTATTGTTTCACAAACTCAGCCCGGCAGTGTAGAAAAGATCGCAATGATTGTAGGACAAACAGAAGAAAAAGAGACAAAAAGAACAGAACAGAAAAAAGGAAATATGGGTTGATGAAATGGGAAATAAAAGCACTAATTCTTTCTTCCCTGGTGGTGTATATCAAACCAGAGCTGAAAGGGTAATGGTCTTTTTATTCAGCTGACAAGAAGGCAGGATGTTGAGCCCCCTTCCAATCGATGGGTCTCCATTGTCTCCCTGCTGGTCCACATAGACACACACACACACAAAAATAAAAACAAAAAACACACAGACACACAAAAAAACCCTCTACTTGAATTATTTGCTACAGCCCCAAACTGCTGTTTATAACGCAGTTGAAAAGATAAAGAAGTCAATTAGTGGGGCCTCTGTAGCAATGGTGACCCCAGTTTTTAAGCAGTATTAATTTTGAAAGCAAGCTGTCATGCTTTGTGTCTAATATATATATATATACATATACATATATATATGTATATTCTTTTCAATTACTATAGGCAAATAAGTAAAAGAAAAAAGTTAAACCTGCTATTTATATAGTAGTGCATCACAGACAGTTTGCTCTTCTCCTTTTATTGTAAAAGATTGTTGTCTTTCCCCCCAAATAATATTGAGTGATGGATCCAGACACATAACAGTATATTTCTCTTGTCACTTTTAATTGTGTTTATCTCACCTCCCCACCTGACCATAAGTCTTTGTTTGCACGGGGACATCTTGATTGTTAGAAGCCCTGCAAGAAAACTAACAAAAACAGCTATTAAACCTCGGGTCAACAATAATATTTTCTATCTGACTTACCATTACAATAAACATCCTCTGTGCAAACCTGAGAGACAAGTGCCGCACAGAAAAAAGAACAAATTTTAAAAAATCTGAAAAATCCAAGGGTATGGCGTATTCGCCAAGCTATTATTGTTACCACCCCAACCCCCTAGCAATCAGCAAAAAAAGGGGGTGGAGGTGATGGTGCAGTGAGGGGCTCCACTCCTGCCTCTTTAGTCCCAGGGTATGGTGTAGGGGTCTCCTAAATGTGCCATGTCGTATTGATCCATATGATCCTTTAAAAAAAACAGCCAGACTAGCACTTACACATCACCCCAGCTGAGTAAGGGCTATTGCTGCACTATGAAGCTAATCAATTGTCTCTGTATGGAACGCCTTATCTTCCGCATGACAATGTCAGTCTTTTTCTCGCCATACCATTTTCCTTTGTGGGGTCTTTACTGTAGCACAATGCATTTTAAGTTTTATTGCTGTCTACAAAGCTTGATCCATCAATGTGGCGAAAAACATAATGACATACAGTAAGTAGGATTTCATGTGCTTCTTTAACTGACTTCAGCTAAAATTATAAACTGACTGAAAACAATGAAGATAAAACATGTATAGAAACCACTCAACTCAGATGACTCAAATGTTTTGGGGATAATATGTGTGGTTAACAGGGTTTTGTGAATGATTAGCACTTAATTTGCTGCCAGCTGTGCCTCATGAAATCAATTTAGTTGACATTTTGAACTTTAACCAAAGCCATGTATGCCCAGATTAGTGATCCAGTTAGCCCCCTTTTCTACATGTTACATTTCACATGCTTCTACAGGATTCTGGGTTGATTTGTTTTTTTTTTTTTACAGCAGTGCTGTACCACACCTTAGCTTGGACAGCTTGCAAAATGACACGGATTTACTTCAGCTGACTAAAACAATCTGTCAACTGAAAACCGACAGTGAAAACAACTTCTGTTTCGTAATGCGCTACTTCAGATTGTCAAGCAGATGCAGAAAATCTCTAGAGAAAACCAAACAAAGTCTGAAGGAAAACCTGGTTGACCTCAAAATTTCTTACACAGTTTGTAATGTTTTGGCCCAAAACACAGGAGATACTACCAAGGGTCTAGTCACTGTATTATCAGAGAAGTTTATTTCAAGTGAGAAAACATGGTGATGGAAAATAATGAAAAATAGAACACTTTTCCAAACTACATGTCTGCTTTGAAATTGTAAGAACCCAGGTTCACAGTGTCATCCTCATACTCGGACTGTGCAATGCAAGCGGAAGGTGGAAGGGGGAAAAAAAAGAAACTCATGGCACTCCGTTTTTCTGAAAGCTAATATGTGACCCACTGATGAAAAGTTCTTCCTTTGGAATTAAGTTGAATGTCCAGCGTTATCTTTATGTTGGAATTTCTCTTATCGCCCAGAGGGAAGCGAGTGACAGATTGATGCAAGTTCTTACCTGAGCCTCCCCACGTACCCTCTATATGTATCCTGCAAAGGACAGATACTGTTAGTGCACCTCGCTATTTTATACTTAGACCTCTCAAAAGCTGTTGAGAGATGGGAGTAAGGGAGATGGTCCCGGGCATCTGTGTTGCATGGGTGGGAAAGGGATTTGGTTTCAAGAAATGTGGTGCTTTGTCTGCATACCACAGAAATATTGCTGCACAACATACAACCATAAAATATAAATGAAATAAAATAAAATAGGAAAACATTTCACATTTTATTTATTTTCTTATGAAAAATGTTTTCATTCTTTTATTCTTTCATTCTGAACTTTTTTTTTGTACTGTTTCATGAGACCAGTTCAAATAAATTAACAAACTGTTATTATTTTTATTATGTAATTTTCTCATTAGTTCTGGTTAAAAATCCAGATTCTGAATCTTGTCATTTGAAAAAGCAGCAACTATTTTTAAAATGTAACAATTATTTTGAAAATGTAAGTTTGTCTGCCATAAAGTAAACATTGCTACTAACACTGGCTGAGAATGACATGGAAATGTGTGTTGCTTTGGTTAAAAAGGTAAATAAAAACTAATTTTATCCCTGTTGCTTTAACTAAACTTTGGAGCATAAGCTCAAGCTGGCCATGTTATAAACACATGTGGATGGATGTGTGCATAACCAGCAGCATAGAAATATGGCAGATCCAAACTTTTCTGATTAACTAATCAAAATTTGTGATTTTAACAAATACAGTAACTGGCTCTCATTAAATTGGAACTTTAAATTTACATCTGGGCATTGATACACAATCCCTGAGCTTGACTCTTTGCTATGCTGACGTTTTGATATCTTCAAATGGCTTTAATAGCAGGAAGAGCTCCTGGCAGCCATGTGGAGAGCACACATAGTTAACAGGGGAACAAAGATCTGTAAACGCTCAGGAACTGGCACAAACGTTAGATTACATTAGCCCATTATATAAATATATACTGCATCTCCTGATATTGATGCTCTTACTGTGAGCATGTTTTACCTATTTAAGCCCTGTATCACTTTGCTTTATACAATATCTGATGTGTTCTGTGTCCTGAATAAAGTTGGATTTATCTTATATCTTTGGTAGCTTTTTATTAGATAAAAGAACGTTATCATTTATGTAGAGGTGAATTCATGACATCTGTAAATGCAGTGACTTGAGCCCCAGACAGGCCATTAATGAAAGCATTAATGCAATAATACCATGAACTATTTTTCTCTTGACAAACAGAACTCAGAAATGCTTCAATTGCCATTTTTTAAAGCTGACATACAGCTACAGATTCAATAGCTATAACCAAAGCTTTAAATTGACTGCTTTAGTCCCTGGGTTATGGAAACTTAAGATGCCTCTGTCATCCACTTTAAGATGCATTCGAATTGACTGTGAGTAATGCATGATTAGTCAGCTTGCCAGAGCTTCTACAGATGGCTTTATTCGCTAGTAGGAGTGCTGACTGCATTCCCCTGAACCAAAACCACCAATTACTGTATGAGAGGTTATGATCTGAGATCAGTACTTCTGTTTAACGGTGCTCTGGGAGTGTGAATCGTGGCAGTTAAAGTCTCCACATCCACAAATAACTTTATAACCTTTGCTGAACCTTTTTTTTTTTTTTTTTATTGCTGCACTGACATTTGTGATATTTGAGAAAACTGCTAACTGCATTAACAGTGATCAAAACTTGACATCCTGACAGTGCATCAACTGAAGTGTGGTGAGCGATTATGATGACCTCTGACCTTACACTAGTCTGAGGAGATCAGAACAGCGGAACACATCTAAAGCCGGGGTGCTGAAGTTGAATCCCTTTTGCAGAGCTATCAGAAGGATCTGCCTCTTTCTGCATACCAAGACGGCGCTTATACCTCAACAATAATCTGCACCTGGACAGTGTTGTTCTACTTGTGGGCTTATCGAACAATTCATACATTTTATCATTTGCCAGGTGCAGCCAGGACGTGGTTTAAGGCAGACAGGGTCTCTGTTATCGAGAGAATATATCTCGGTGTCTGATGTCAGGATTCAGAAGGGAAATGACGACGTTGGAAGCCGGTGCGATGGATAATGTACAGTCTCAGATTTTGGTTGAGAATCATGTCAAAGTGAACACACCCTGTGCAGTATAATCAAAATGTTAGTATAATCATTTGTTACTTTCAAGTTATTAAAAGCAGTTTTAGCAGCAGTGTAAAACAGAAAGTGTTGTAATAAGGCAGTAGTTAATTCAGTTTTTAATTTATTTGTATAGTGCCAAATCAGAACACAAGTCATCTCAGGACACTTTACATACGTAGTAAGGTCTGGGCCTTACTATTATTATTAATGGGACATTTCTTTCCTGAAGTCTTGAAGTCTTTAAAGTATTGTAAATTGATATAGAGTATACTAATAAAATTCTATATGATGGAACCTGTGACAGTTCAAAAGACCATAGTACCAGATCTACTTTGATTATCAGTACATAAAAAAACACAATGGATATTACTGCAAGCAGGGGCCATGTAGAGTACAGGAGGAAATGCCAGGGTATTATAATGAATTTTTATTATATGATAATAGTCAATCTACTGTTTAATGACGGGCACACTTATTTGTTTAAATACTGTAAATGTTTGCTGACATCTTAAAAATTTTGGTATTGTTTTTTTTAACAATTTTTGCTTTGAAACTCAATCAATATGTCATAATACTGCATTTTTATTCCAAGCTAATCAATGCTCTTAGATAACTGTTCAAATAATAAATAACATAATATAATATGATATCTCTAAATAGTGCTTTGCATTTTAGTCTCTCTTGGCAGATCATTCATTCTGATCATATTCAGAGAACACAGAACCAGTATCCTATATTCCAGTGAATCTACGAAGTCTCTCATGGGCGCAAAAGCAGAAGGAGATCCATCAGGTGATGTATTACCCTGTAGGCATTGTAATTTGTTATATAAGCTTCATGTAAGCTCAGCAGCAAGATTAAAGACCCCAGGCTCAATGTATCAGTCACCCGTCAACTTCTGGGTCAATTTCCCTTTAACCCTTGTTTTGTGGTTCATAACCCTCTTACAAATATGACACTGTCAATCAAAATGTAGTGGCCAAGCATTTGCTGACTGCCCCAGTGTCCTCTCTACCATGTTTGAAACCAACTTACGTAGAGTTCACCCAGAATAAAAGAGAAAGATGCCAAAATGAGTTGCTACCTATACGGATCAATTTCTTTTCAGAATGTAATTTAGAATGCTCAAATGTTCTCAATAATGAGATTAAATGTTGTTAATCCCATAAATTAATATCGCATTCAAGATTCTGTGTGTTGTGTTCTTGGTTTGCCTCCCAGTCAGTTTTCCTGGATTTAGGGAACAGGCATCTTGAGAGACTCACTAGTCATTAGCAGCCAACAGACACTGGGCGCATTACACGCTGTGACATAAATGACTAAATGAATCAGCACATCTATTAAAGGGTGTGTTCCCTCCATGGTGCCATGATACGATAAGCCCATATTTTGTTTTGAATCTTAATGACTGGCGTAGGTGTGCATTCATCATGGATTATTGGGGACTTAATTTAATTGAGCCCAAGCAATCGCCCGTAAATCACATTATGCTGTCATTTCTCTTTACAGCACAGAGACAAAAGCCCCCGCTGGCTGGAACTTGACAACACACCAAGGTGGGTGTTCCAGCAGGCAGCTATGCTATATTCCACCAATGGAAAAGATGGAGTAATGAGGATTAGAGATGTGGTTTTATAAAAACTAGCTCCTTTGAATATCAATAATGGAAATGACACACAGTGAAAGCTGTTATAATGCTTGACTGTTGTCAAGTTGCTGTTGTAGCTCTCTGTCTAAATCCAGTTAGCATGGTGATAAACTGGGGTCTATTGGTTGTTTACTCTGGAACAGCAACAGCGCAGCTGGAGGAATGGTCTCATTGCCGTTATTGCCGCCACTGCTTCACACAGCTGGTTAACAAACTGGTCGGGCAAATAAGAGTTGACAGTGTTCGGCCCCCTCTGGTGCCTGGAGCCTCCTCCCCCTCAGCTAATGTCCATCAATATTGCTCATTATTCAAATGAGATGAATGGAATATTGTCAGACAGCGAGCGACGGGTGGCAGTGTTATTTTGACCTATTGTAAATGTCCCAGCCTTGCCCAGCCTTTTGCTTACAACGGCTTAGGCTGAAGGAGTGCTGCTTGGTGTAAATAATGGGCCCATGGGTGTCAGATTTTTACAAGATGCCTCTCTAGAAATCAGCTAGGCTTGGCCATGACATCAATTTTAAAATGGGAAATTGACATGTGGTTCATTTACAAGGAGTTTGTGAAATAGAAACGTGATAAAAGACTCTTGTAGATCCTGTAGAAATGTCATACTTCTTGTAAAGTCACAAGGCCACCATCCATGAAAGTGATTACTCTGACGCTGCACAAATGCTAAATAATGACATTCCACTACTTTAAAATAATCCAGAAGAAGAAGAAGAAAAAACCTTGAACTCACCCAAAATAGAACACTTTACGAAGTGAAGGTGGTGTCGTGAACTGCAAAAGCGAGACTAAAGAAACTGCGACAAAGCGACAGTGTACTGCAAAGGCCCTCTGCATTGGGAGGAGGAGGCCAAGTGTATTGTATCCCATAACCTCCTGTTATTGCCACACAACACAAGCGGCAGTGGCGGAACCAGCCACTATGATGGAGCACCCTTCTTCTCCTGAGAAAGAATGTTTGCTTACTATTTCATCATCCCCCGGGGCCACAGGAAAATAAGCCCATCAGTTGTCATTGTGAGGGAACGAGAGAGAGGGACAGTGAGAGAGAGTGCCATCCAGTACCCTCACCCTATCCAGCAAATGAATTATGGACCATCTTTTTCTCACGCAAAGACTATAAGTTAATATTATCTCCTCAGGATAATTATAGCAAAGTTCAATTACTGACCCAGCATTACGGTGTGGCCCTGCACCGCGGGTTCTGACACACAACCCTTTTACACATTTATCTTTTACTCCAACACAGTAAATCTGCATGATGGCAGTGATTTATCTACTGGTGCCCGGTCCCTAGCTTCACCACCATTCTTCTTCACATACCGTGATTGGTCCGGTCCCTTGAGTCCCCTTGAGCTTAATGTAAGCTTTTCTTTTTACACTGTGTTTTTGGACCAATTTGTGTCCCTGCTTTTGTCTTCAATGAATGGAGCAGAGGTCTGGGATTTTGAATTTACTCCACAAGATGTATGACCTAGTGATTGCTGTAAGAGGGGGCACATGAACTCAATTGCAAATCCTCTGGGTGCACCTAAACAACTGCATTGTGTAGCACTACCTTGAGCTCTTAACAATACGGCTCCTGAGCACACATCTCGGAAGTTCTGTGTGAAAGCCTTGACACTGATACTGCAACTGAAAGCAACGTGTTGTCTTGTCAGCACAGAAGGCGTCTTGTTCGCTCTGTTAGTGTAGCTGTTTTGGTGTTCCTCAGAACAACACTAATGGTTAAAAGGCTCCAAGTAAGTAGGGCAGAGCTTCAAGCTACCCCAGAGACGTGTCCTCAAGTTCACAGGGATAAACAGTGGGACACTTTAATGGTCCCCCTCCAAGGACTTGCAGCTGCAAATGCAAGATTTCAGTCAGTTTTAGTATTAGTTTATTCACCCGCATTAACAGTAAATTGTGAACATCATTATCTTATTGCATTGCCTTCATACACATTTTTTTGGCACTCGTAATCATTTGCTTTTAAAATTTTCCAAGATTATATTTGTCTGTTCAGTGATTCACACCCAGTAGCCTACAGGTTTTGTTACCAAATAAGATCTGCAAATAGGCAACAAGATAATCCAGGGCGAGGAATAAAAGATCAGAATGACACCAGATCTGTTGTATAGAGCCCTGTCATGTTTCACCATAATCACTTCCATTAAACACTAGCTGTACAAAGGTGTCACAAACACCTCAGAGGATATCTTATGTGTCACCAGTGTTTCTATACTATACAGCAATACATTTGGGGGGGAATTACATCTAAAAGATTAAATAGGAATATCAAATTAGGAAGCATATATTACAGAACAATATGTAAGTCAGCCATTTTTATATCACACAGACTCTTACTCCCAGTGTGACATTTGAGCTACAGCATATTATATCCCATACTCAGTACCAGGCTATTTGCATAAGAATTGGCTGTCTGCCTACTAAGCAATGGCCCGCTTAAAGACTCAGCTGAAAATGTGTGTGTGTCACGAATATGAACATCTAAATCAAGTCAGAGTCTAACCCTCATATTCTGCAACAATTATTTGGCAAAACCGTGATAGTCACATTCAAACAAATCAAATTTCATTTTTATGAGACACATGTTAAAGAGGTGTACACTTTCAGTAATTATTCTGTAAACTCGGCCCCGTATTTTCATGCAAATGTATTAGATAGTGACACGTCAAATATGAAATCCAATTTGTTGGTTATGAAACACATGTAGGGAAGAAACGTGTACACTAATTATTTCTGGGGCATCCTGCTCCCCCCCCCACACCCGCCACCCATTTCATCCACAAACTGAACTGGATATTACATTTGCTTAAAACTCAATCATGAAAAATGAAGACTCGATTTGAAAAATTTTAATAAAGATAAGTTGCTTCTATCATTGAATCAGGGAATGCTAATCGGTGCTTTCATTCGGGTGGCGGCAGATAATGTCAACCTAGCTTGAGGCTCTTATTTTGCAATAAAGCATTTACATTCTAATGATTTTATTATAGCTTATACAGGCTGTCAGCAACAGACCAACTGAGCTGAGGCCCCTTCCTCCCAGCCACTCCCATTCAAATTGTCTGGCAAATTGTATCAGCTATCAGCTCATAGTGCTTTTATCAAACTGGCCCAGTGGCAAGCCAGGGCCCACCACAATGAGATGTCTATTGCTTGAAGAGTCTGTATTTAATCATTTCTGCTCGCCAGTATTGTTCTGCTTACAGTGCATAAATAAGTGCTTCAAATAACCCTGGAGTGCCACTGACAATGAAACAAAGTATCTGTCTTATTTATCTTCCTTGCACTCTTCACTGCACCCCCTTATATATATATATTTTATTTTTCTCTTTCCACCACTTTCTTTATTTGCTGCAGGCAATGTTTCTTATTCACTCACCTATCATCTTGGAACAGTCTGAAATTACCCACTGATGAGTGGAAAGCTTTTGAGATATAGATAACCCAAAAGCATTTTTGAATGGCAAAAATCTCCAGGCTCCTGTCAGCTCTATTAGAGAATCACAAGGAAGAAAAAAAATGGGACTGGACTTGGGCCAATTGCTCTGGAAGTGAGGAGTTGTTTAATCTTTCTATTATGAAGACATGAGTGTGAAACAGTCATACATTAGCTAACTGTACATCACTGTACACTGAGGTCTTCGTAGCTTAATGACAAAATAGTGTTTGTCAGTGCCTTTCCAAAAATGACCCATATTCTGATCTACATTAAGAACATCCCACCACAGTTAGTATTGAAAATAAACTGTTTGATTTGATTTGATTTGATTTGATTTGATTTGAGTTTGATCCAAAAAAAAAAAAAAATCAAAAGTTGTCAAATTATTTTAAAAGGTGCAGCAGCTTATTATTGCACTTTCCATCAACTAGCAACCTAAGCTAGTGGTGTAATTAACAAATAAACCTGATAACATGCAATACTCTATTTATTTGTTAATATTAAACTTTCCTAAAGTATCATTTCCCTTGTTATTCCAATGGTGATGTGTTGTTTTGGCTTGGGATTTACCTCTCATGTCTAATCATTGTCATACAATCACCAGTGTCAGTTAAACACTGAGCACAGCAATGACGTGATGCTCTCATCCATGTCCTTCTATAGTTTTCAGGTGTTCTAATCCAGTGTCTGGCCATTGCTGCCTGTTCAGGGTGCACCTATACCCTCGGCAGCATAGTATTGTGTTCCAAGTTTAACAAGAGTGCTTTGAACTCACTTTGGAGTTGAATCACCTAACCCCAGGGCAGGTTTGTCACCGTAGCCTCATGTATCAACACAAGATAGAGAATGCCTCAGAGGGACTTGGACTAATTGGGGGGGTTAAACCACTGTTCATGAATCTCTGGCCTGATCCCCTCAAAATATAATGAATCCAGGCAGGTTTTGAAAAGCCAGGAAACATTTTCTTGTGACCTAAGTTGTGCAGCGTTATTCTGGGAGACGTGACCGTAAACCCATCCCTCTTCTCCTAGGGCAGTTAAATACCTGCCATTGTGCACCATTGTTCTGTTATTGCTGTTGTCCCTTTTTCTTTCAACCTCAATTCTTTATTTTGGTGTATATTGTTACTCCAGAGGAGCTCTTTTTATCCTGAAGGCAAACATCAAACTAAGAGACAATATCGGCTTCACAAAAGACCTCCAAACTCCATTATGTTTTTTTCTGTTTCTGCCTCTTTCTTTCTCCCTATCTCGTCCAATGTTTAGGAGAGTATCACAATTCTCTCTTGAGTTTGAGAAAAGGTAATTTTAACGTTTTGGTATCTTGTGGTTAGCTAATCCCACTGAGCTCATATTTATATGTTGGAGATGCACAGTAGATTCACAGTCTTTAGCTATGAAGACTGACGCCGGCCACCTTTTGAGGTTGATGATTATAATGTGTTCACAAATTAGTTAAACATTTTACTCACTTGCTTTAGCTACAATGTTGGAAAGCCCCTTTCAGATACAATAAAACACATTCTCCATTGCCACTGAAAACACCAGCAGGTTTCACTGACAATGTCATGAAACCCCAAAAAATGGAAAACCAAATGTAAGGGGTTCGTTTTATAAAGCTTCAACCTTCTTTAAAGATTAAACATTTTAACAGCTTGAGTAAAAGTCACCTTGGTGGGTGGTAAATCTGTTGGATTAAATACTTATTTACAGTAGATTTTAAAATGAGCATTTTTATTTTCTTTACAGATGTTTGTTTAATAATAATGTCAAGCTGATGAAATCTACAGTAAAATATTATTACATCTCTGCATGAGCCAAAAACTTCTTTTGGCACCAGAAAATCATAGCATTTGTCAACGTATCAATAGGCTTGGCATTTGTTGGCTTTCCACATATCCACACCCGTGTTAACTTGCTGTACATGTTTGTGTTCAGGTTCTGAATTATTATGCATTTTCAAATTATCTATCAGCTTGTTGAGGTAACAGGTAATAAATACAGTCATAGAGCCACATTGACAAGCCAGCATTTCAGTAGAAGATGAGAGCTTTTTATGCGTTCAAGAAAAAAAAAATAATAATGAAACTGAGGGGGGAATTTACATTTGGCACATCAACAGACCAATCCGCTCTCCTTTCAGTCATTGCATTATTCACTGTGTGTTCATTTCCTGTTGATCAGATTGACTGTTTGATGTATTCCCCTAACTTGACACAATGACGCTGACAAATTTACTTATTCTGGTGACAGACAGCAATTTAGTGGGAAATGAAGTTGTCTTGAAGATGATGCCATTTTACACACACACCCACACACACCCGGGCAAATAACCTAGTTTGAATAATCACCGCCACTGTCTGTTTAAATGATTTTTATACCCATTTTAAAGGAAACCTTTGATATGATAAAACTAATTCCCTGTCTGTGAGAGGAAGGTGGAAAATTATTTCAATATTAGGATGTCAGTCAATTCTCTACCAAACCTACTGTAGACCCCTTATTAACTGGTAATGATTGAGCTACTATATGCACAACACTGCCTTCAGTGCTGTAATGTGCAATACATTTGATTTCAAAAAGGTTGTGGATGCTTTAATCTTGTTGTTTTTCTTACTAGGTGCTGAATATTCAGCTTGGGTGAAAATATGAATGAGTGTTGTTGTGTCTTTTCTGGAAGAAGACAGGGTTATGTGTCATTTATAAACCATAAACTGCATCCTAACATACTACAGCAGGTATTATTTAATAATTAAACAAATAAATTAAATAAATTAAATTAAATAAATTAACCTAATACATGATTTAAGAAGCTTTCACATATTGCATGCATTAGGATAATGGAAGGAAATGATAAAACTTTCAGTAGCATTAACATGTGATGCATAAAATAAAAGAATGAGAGTAATTGTTTTATAAGAATACAAAAAAAAAATAAAAATAAAATCTGAGCATTTGGACAGAATGCATGTAACAAAAAGATAACTTGGCTGCCAATTATTATTCATTTACTTATCATATTTATTCAGTTTTGCACTTGAAAGTAGATGCGTTTATATTGACTGCAGTTTAAAAATACCTTCATTGTTTGTTTGTTACATTGTCTGCATAAGACTGAATGAATTATTTAAAAAAATCACCCATTTCAGGATAGAATATTACAATAAAATATTACACTGTATTGTTCAAACCTCTCACTAGGATAGAGAGGCTAGGTTTTTCGGGAGCCAGTGACTGAAATTTCTTCTTGAAACATAACATACTAATTAGATTTTGCAGTAACCAGGCTGCTGTATAGGGACAACTCTACCTAGTTGGCTGTAGCTTCATTAGCTGGGAACTGACACCCCAGTTTAAACAGATTGATGTCTCTTTAAACCAGGTCCTGGTCAAGGATACCTGGGGAATCATACTATTGACTTTGGACTGTTTGTGCTGCTAGGCCTCTGGAGACTTTGTGTTAGCTTTAATGGGATCCATCAATTCAGCTTCCCTTTTAATAATTATTGTTTTACCATTCACAAGAGATTGATGCTTTTTTTGTTGGTTTTCACTGTTGTCTGGAGACAACAGGGACTTTCTTGTCTTAGGTGCGGTCCTAACTTTGTCTTTGATTTTTTTTTTTCCTGGTTCAACACATTGTGACTACAAGAAGTTGAGACATAAAAGCACAACACTGCAGACCTTCAAGTTCACCTTGTAAGGTGGGGGAGGGGCCATGGGTTGCCTCAGATAGATCTGAAAAGGTGTTTGGAAGGAGAAAGAGAGGATGACAGAGTGATGGGACAAGAGGAAGAGAGAGAGAATTAAGTGATCTTGGTACATGATGAAAAGGAATGCTAATGTTAAGTACATTGATCAGCTGCTCCGTTACAACCAACCCACCCTTTGCCCCCAACAATATCAATACATTGAAAACATCATTTGTATCAGCAGTTGTTTCTTTAATTAAGATCTGGCCCAAATCTTTGGTATTGATCTATGCCATTACCTTATCGACATTGTCTCGCCAAGCTGACTCAGTGGCTTTCTCTCTATTGAAATGACCTGGCTTAGGGGTACAAAGTGCACCACCGTATTATGTCATATAAGCAAAGCCGTGTCTTTGTCTGCTGTCCGAACAAGGTATTTAAGGTAAGTGGTACAGACTAGTATTGACATCCGTTTGCATCACTTAACAAAATTAAACATGTGGGAAAATGGCCTGCAAGACTTGAATTCTTTTGGGAATAATGTATTTGAATCTAGCTGACATGTGATTTGACACTGAGTGCTTAGCAGCCTTGTTTTATACTGGTGGTGATGCAAATATTTTATTAAATTATATAAACAAGAAATATATTCTTTAACATGACTACAGAGCAAGACATATACGTGAACATAAAGCCATGTATTCCCTAAATGATACTATACACTACAAGATTTCTTGCTCATCCCCAGTGAGTCTCAGGAGTCCCTCTGAAATAGCCTCCATTCCTCAATATAGTATACTGTATTTACTTCATCATCATTAAGAATCTATCCCACAGTCATTACAATGATTGATGCTGCCATTGAAGACTTTAAGGCATATTTTCTATATAGAATATCTCTTTACTCCTGTCTAATTGAACAATGAGACATTTTCTGGCTCTCTATCTGGGTTTTAGGGAGCTCATCCCTACATCAGCCAAGTCTAGCCCCCCTTTCTTCACCCACCCTATTTTTCTATCTTCCTTGAAGGCATTTACAGAACTGCTTGGTGTCTCCTCCTCGATCCAGCCTCTCACAAGGCATACACCGTATAGGAGAGGCTCCTGTGCCTCAGGTGAGGTTTCTGAAGAGCCTACTGTCACAGCCTCATCCTCACAGGCAACCGTAA